ACTTGTGAAGGGCTGTAATGATGATGATGATGATGATTCCGAATTGTTTGTCAAATTATTATGCTGCTCTATAGAAATAGATGTCTGGGTAGCCCAGTCCTTGGCTATAATATTAAGAACAGACTGAACTTAACGCCCTGGATAGAAAAGTCTACACTACCATGACGTCCCATAGGATGCATCATCCGAGATCGTCGTTAATGAGGATGTACTTGCCGCGAAAACATGGTGGGCGTGGCTTCCTGAGCGCGCTCACCATGCATAATCGCGAAATGTGCAGCCTCCGTCATTACTTCCTGGCGAGATCGGATGATCCATTCTATAATGACGTCATTTCTAGTTATAAAGGGCTTACCCCTCTATCCTTAGCCAACGAGCAGGACCCAGCAGTACAAAGCATTTCCGACCGGGAGACCGTATGGAAGGAGAATGAGTTCCACGGGAGGTACTATAGGGCTCTCCATGCGCCCTTCGTAGATACAGTCGCCTCCCTCAACTGGCTACGTTTCGGTGACCTCTTCGAGGAAACCGAGGGTTTCGTCCGGTTATTAAGACCTACAACTATCGGAGATACGTCTTAAAGGATGGCACCGCCGACGTCTGTCGAGCTTGTCGCCATCCCGGGGAGTCACTTAGGCATGTCATCTCCGGTTGTTCGGCGCTTTCTAACTCTGTGTACTTGCACAGGCACAACCTAGTAGCCAGAATTCTACACCAGATGCTTGCTCTGAAATACGGTCTCGTGGACCGGAAATTGCCGTATTACAAGTACTTGCCGCAAGCTGTGCTCGAAAACGAGCGCCCCAGGATCTACTGGGACCGGGCCATCATCACAGATAGGACTATTCTTGCGAATAAGCCTGATATTGTGCTGATGGACCGGGCACAGTCAAGGATATTTTTGGTTGACATTACCATTCCGTATGACGAGGATCTCGTGAAAGCTGAAACAGATAAGCGAACAAAATATCTGGACCTGGCTAACGAGGTGACCGACATGTGGGGTGGTCTGCCGGCCGAAATTATTCTTGTAGTCGTCTCTGCGAATGGGCTAATTCCAGTCAGCCTCTTGGGTCATCTGAGGCGACTGGGACTCCATGACGGACCGCTCCGGGCTCAAATGCAGAAGGCAGTGCTCCTCAATACCACCCGTATCGTCGGCCGGTTTCTTTCCCTTTCCTCCTAACTCTCGGCCGTTTGGTCTACCCTGCCGAGGGCTTCCATTTGGATGGATCTTTATTTATTTATGTATTTTTTGTATTTATTTTATTTTATTGATATTTATGTATATTAATCTTTTCATAATTATATTTATAGAACCCAACCAGATAATAAAACTATATAGATACCCCAAATAATAATAATAGTAATAATAATAATAACCCCCCCGTGGGATCACATTGACGTGATGGGGGGGCTTACGGGATTAAGTACTGGTAACTCGAGCTTCACATCTTGCCAATAAATAACCTATCCAAACTAACGATCCTGAACCCATTTTATGGAGAGTTGTATGGACAGTCAATCTAAGAGATATAGTTTACGGCCGCTTCCCGGAGTTCGTCGGGGCGCATCTGGAGCCAACGCTGGATGCCACAGCATGCGAACCGTTGGCGACGGGGGACTGAACAGGCGGGTTCCCCTCGAAAAAATTGCTACAGCTGAACGATCACATCTACCCGATTCACTTTCATCTACGGTATCTTCCGAATATTCACTCTTTGGTAATATTACATCACCTTCCTCAACTCATAGCTTATTTCGATCATCTGATTCATCACCATCATCTTCATATACATCAAGAATTACAAGGTCAACAGCTGTTGTGCAGGAGGCATAAGCTACTAAACCTGCACACACTGTTGGGCAACTACGTGCGCGAAAAAAATGGACAGAAGATATGAACCACTTTATTTGGCGTACATACCTATTAATAACTAAATACGAAACAACTCACATGAATAATTACCTAGAAATTTTACACCAGGAATTTCAAAGTAGATATCCCGAAATGAAAGCCACTCGGCAACGACTAGGAGATCAAAAACGAGCTATATTAAGAAGAAAACTACTGCCACAAAAACTATTAGACGAAATAGGTAATGAAGTAAGAGAATATATTATACAGAATGAGAACCGTAAACACACACACACAGCACTCAAATTACAGCACCGTCACAAACAAATACTACGAACAATACCAGGATGAAATGGTCGGATGAAATAAATGAAGACATCATTAGGTTTTATCTTGAAGTGACAGAGTTGGAGAAAGATCAAACTGGCTACTGGAAAAAATTGTATGAGCTATTCATAGAAAGACATCCATATTTATCTTACCTTACTGAACAGAGGATAGCTGACCAAACAAGATTAATATTTAAAAATAAGAAATACGAATTGTGAAGAGAAGTAGAATTTAAATTGGAGCTCAATAATCGAGAACTAGTTACAGGTCAAAATTATACCGTAGTAGAACAAACGCAACAAACCCCGTATGAAAGCACAACAGAAATCTTTACACCCACACAGCATACTCAACTTAAAAACATGATAGATAGCACAAACACTGTCATAAAAACATGTACATTAAGTAATACTCAAAAGGAAAACTCCCAATTACAAAACCTCATCTCATGGAAAGTAATAAAATTTAAATAGAATTTAATAATGCAATTGCAATATTTAGCACAACAGATGCTGAAGCAAGACCATACATCCCAAAACAGAAATATTCACGAAAATTTGCACAGATTGTTCACTACTTGAATAATGAAATCTTACCGAGGCATCTTAGTCACGATTTAGATTTTATTTCATTACATACCTTAATATATTCAGCAGCTTGTACAGCCGCCTTATGTAATGGTACCAGATTTAACACAGAGGGAAATATAACTGCAAACAATCGAAATAGAAAACCTACCTGGCAAAGAAGTATTGAAAGCAGAATAGTAAAATATAGAATAGAAATTGGAAGATTAACACAATACATAATAGGAAATAGAAATCTGAGAATACTAAAGACTGTAGAAGAAATAAAGAGGAAATATAAAACACACTCTCAACATGAAGAATCTAATACGGAGCCACAACATTTTCTCGACACACTCAAGCAAAATTTAAACGCGCTATCAAATAGATTGAGAAGATATTTAACATGTACTAAACGGAAACAACAAAATGCAAACTTTTTAAATAATGAAAAACAGTTCTACAGAACTTTAGGGCACGAACACCATATTAATACTACACGTTCTACTCAATTCCCATCACCACAACACTTAAAACAATTTTGGGCAGGCCTATGGGAAAACCCAGTAGCACATAATAGTAAAGCTGAGTGGTTAGACAAAATAGCAAAAGCACCAAATATTAAACAAGTGGATTTTGAAAATATCACAGTAGAAACATTCATTCAAATAATCAAACGCACACAAAATTGGAAAGCACCGGGTACCGATAACATAATTACATAATTACTGGTACAAAAAGCTCACATGTACACATCCATTTATCTACAATCATATTTGTCAATTCATACATTCACCACATAATATGCCAACATTCATAACAAGCGGTCTAACTTACATGCATCCGAAAGGCTCAGATCCAAAAGACCACGCAAACTACAGACCTATAAAATGCCTACAAACGATATACAAGATTATTACAGGATGCATTAGCGAAGCAATGTACAGACACCTTGACAAACAAAATATTCTTGCAGAACAACAAAAGGGTTGTAAGAAAAGTAGCCAGGGATGTAAAGAACAGTTGACAATAGATGCAATAGCCATGAAACAAGCACACAATAAAAATAGAAATATTCATATAATGTACATTGATTACAAAAAGGCATTTGATTCTGTCCCTCATAGCTGGTTAATTTATGTACTAAAATATTACAAAATTCATACCAGTCTGATTTCATTTTTAAATGTAGCCATGCTTCATTGGAAAACGAAACTAAAAATAATAAATAACAGTTCCTTAAGTACTGAATCAATAAAAATACAAAGAGGTTTATTCCAGGGAGACGCACTTAGTCCGTTATGGTTTTGTCTAGCCCTTAACCCGTTATCAGAATTACTCAATAGTACTAATGTAGGTTTTAAATTAAAATATAATAACTCATATCACATTCTGTCACATTTACTGTATATGGACGACATAAAAATTTATGCAACCAACAACACTGAACTTACAAAACTAGCAGACTTAACACATTCATTTTCTACAGACATAAAAATGCAATTTGGTGTTGATAAATGCAAAGTACATTCTATCATTCGCTGAAAATCAATAAACAATACATATATACTCAGTACTGGTGAACAAATAGAGCCCATGGACGAACATAGCACATATAAATATTTAGGATTTCATCAGTCCAAACAGATACATCAAAAACAAGCAAAAATAGACTTAACTAAAAAAATTAAAATTAGAATAAACCAAATATTAACAACTAAGCTAAATTCACGCAATATTATAAAAGCCATAAATACCTACGCGATACCCATTCTCATATATTCTTTTGGAATAATAAATTGGGCTCAGAGTGATTTAGTTAAACTTCAACGCACAATTAATACAAATACAGAAAACACCACCCCAGATCATGTACACAGCGTCTCACATTACCACGCCAAGATGGAGGGAGAGGCATCATCGATATACAAAATTTACACAACAGTCTAATAGACAAATTTCGCAAATATTTCTATGTAAAAAGTGCAAAGGCCCGCTTGTGCACATGGCCTCACCATGAAACGGCGCCGGGTCTGGGCGTCTCCCGCTAAATGACGCCCACAAAAATGGATGATGGAATTAAATAGAACGCGCAAAGGTCCGCTGGCTGGAGGTCGCCAGGGCGCGTCTGGAGCTGGCGCTGGACGCAACAACATACGACCACCCAGCAGCCCCTCGCATCCATCATCCCCACCAGCTGGCTTGGTGTCGGCAGGGTCTTCGCGGCCACTGGTGGTGTACGCCGCATGCGTTGGACAACACAGATGAACAGCAACGCATTGTGGGCGTATTTTAGGGCGAAAGGAGGAGAAACTGGAGGTTTTGCGTATCCGGCAAGGATGCATCGACTTTTTGCTGAGCTGGAGCCATCTGTAACCGTCACCAAGCAAAACCTGGTAGACCGAGTTCGGTATATCTTGCGCTCAAATACATTTGATGTCACCGAACTCGAACGGCTACGACGTGAGGCTATTCCGGCTGAGGATGCGGCGCCACAACTTGCTGAGCAAACGGCAAACGTGGATGCCGCCGTGAATACACGGTCGCATTCTGGCGCAACCTGTAGTCAGAGCCCGTAAACCGCAACGAGGGCCCATGGACGGAAGTTATGGCGATTCAGTGTGCGCGTATTACGCCCATGGACCCCGTCATCATAACGCCGGATGACGTAGCTGAGGCGGTCCGTAGGGCCCCGAACTGGAAAAGTCCGGGGCTTGACGGGCTGCATCACTACTGGCTGAAGGGGTTCACGGTGTGTCATGCTGTGCTCACCCGTCAGTTTCAAGAGGCTCTCAACTAGAAGTCGCTCCCAAACTTCTTCACTACTGGGATCACTCATTTGTTTCCTAAAGATCAGGGTGCCACAGATCCGAGCAAATACCGCCCCATCACGTGTCTACCGATCATATACAAGACACTAACATCTATTTTGAGCGCGTAAATCACTCGTCACCTGGACTCAAATCAGGTGATGTCGCGCGCTCAAAATGGATGTCGGGGCGGCGGTCGTGGAACCAAGGAACCACTCCTCATTGACGCGGTTATTGGCAAAGTGGTGAAACGCAACCGTCAGAACTTCTCCGCCGCTTGGATAGATTACAAAAAGGCATTTGACTCGGTGCCCCATACATGGCTAAAGAGGGTCCTCGAGCTGTACAAGATTGAGTGTACAGTTCGAGACTTCCTCGAGCAGCATTTTTTATGGAGCAGTGGAGTACAATCATCTATAATCTACGCAAGCGGATGACGGCTGCGGAATGATGCATAAGGATAAGAAGGGCTGTATTCCAGGGCGACTGTCTGAGTCCAATCTGGTCCTGCCTCTCTTTGAACCCTCTAAGTACTTTACTGGAGGGCTCCGGGAGGGGGATTTCAGCTTTGGAAAGGAGGTACAGAAGTGGCCCACCTTTTCTATATGGATGCCCTCAAATTATTCGCCTCCAGTCGCTCCCATCTTATGGAATTGCTAAACATCACTTATGAATTTAACAATTCTATTAGAATGAAGCTGGGGACGGATAAGTGTGCGATCCACGTTGAAAGGGGAAGGGTTGCTAACTCTGAGTCAACTTAAGGACCCTTTCCGAGGCTGAAACATACCGATACCTGGGTATGTCACAGAACATCGGTATCGATGAGGCTGGTATGAAACAGTCAGTTTGCGACGTGTTTTATGCACGCTTGTCCAAAGTGCTTAACAGCCTTTAGTCCGGTGTGAAAATACACATGCATATAACGGTTGGGTCATGCCTGTCCTCATGTATACCTTTGGCATACTCATGTGTAGTCAGACTGAACTTAACGCCCTGGATAGAAAAGTCCGCACTACAATGACGTCCCATAGGATGCATCACCCGAGATCGTCGGTAATGAGGCTATACGTGCCGCTAAAGCATGGTGGACGTGGCTTTTTGAGCACGCTCACCATGCACAATCGCGAAGTGTGCAGCCTCCGTCATTACTTCCTGGCGAAATCGGATGATCCATTCTATAATGACATCATTTCTAGTGATAAAAGACTTACCCCTCTATCCTTAGCCAACGAGCAATGGCAAGACCCGGCAGTACAGAGCACTTCCGACCGGGAGACCGTATGGAAGGAGAAGGAGCTCCACGGGAGGTACTACAGGGCTCTACGTGAGCCCCACGTAGATACAGCCACCTCCCTCAACTGGCTACGTTTCGGTGACCTCTTCGGGGAAACCGAGGGTTTTGTCTGTGCAATACAGGATCATGTTATTAAGACCAGCAACTATCGGAGATACATCCTAAAGGATGACACTGTCGACGTCTGTCGAGCTTGTCACAATCCGGGGGAGTCACTTAGGCATGTCATCTCCGGTTGTTCGGCGCTTTCTAACTCTGAGTACTTACACAGGCACAACCTAGTAGCCAGAATTCTACACCAGGAGCTCGCTCTGAAATACGGTCTTGTGGACCGAAAATTGCCGTATTACAAGTACTTTCCGGAAGCCGTGCTCGAAAATGACCGCGCCAGGCTCAACTGGGACCGGGCCATCATCACAGACAGGACTATTCTTGCGAATAAGCCTAATATTGTGCTGATGGACCGGGCACAGTCAATGATATTTTTGGTCGACATTACCATTAGGTATGACGAGAACCTCGTGAAAGCCGAAACAGATAAACGAACAAAATATCTGGACCTGGCTCACGAGGTGACCGACATGTGGGGTGGTATGCCGGATGAAATTATTCCTGTAGTCGTCTCTGCGAATGGGCTAATCCCAATCAGTCTTCGGGTCATCTCAGGCAACTGGAACTCCGTGACGGACCGCTCCGGGCTCAAATGCAGAAGGCGGTGCTCCTCGATACCGCCCGCATCGTCCGCTGGTTTCTTTCCCTTTCCCCCTAACCTTCGGCCGTTTGGTCTCCCCTGCCGAGGGCTTCCATCTGGTTGGATCTTATTTATTTATGTATTTTTTGTATTTGTTTTATTTTATTGATATTTATGTATATTTACCTTTTCATTTTAATTTATACTTATATATTTATAGAACCCAACCAGATGAGAAAATTATATAGATACCCCAAAATAGTAATAAGTAATAGTAAGTGGATAGGGATGTGCTATGGCATACACTGAACTCATTTGGGTTGAGCGCTGGCTTGATACAGGCATTGGAGTCTCTTTATAGGGACTCTAGTGCTTGTGTTAGGATCAACGGGGTCTACTTGGACTGGTTTGACATCCATAAAGTTGTCAGACAGGGCTGTGTGGCTTCCCCGTGGCTGTTCAACCTATTTATGGACAGTTGTTTGCAAAATTTGAAAGTTGAAGAATGCGGATTAAGAATGGGTGAGTTAACCGTCAAATGCCTTTTGTACGCCGATGATCAAGTTATCCTTGCGTCGTCGTCTGCCGAGTTGCAAATGATGGTAACATTAATGAACAGATCATTAAAAGAAAGGGGTATGAAAGTGAACGCAAGTAAGACGAAGGTTATGGTTTTTAAAAGAGAAGAAAGTAAAACGATTTGTGAAATAAGAATAGAAGGGGAGTTGATCGAGCATGTAGATGAGTTTGTATATTTTGGCTGCGTATTTATCAGGGATGGGAAATATGATAAAGATATAGAACGACGAGTAAATGCGGGAAATAGAGTAAATGGGGCCCCGCTCTCCATTGTGAAGAGTCAAAATGTGTCAAAAAAGGCACGTATGGCAATTCACAATGCTGTGTTGGTCCCTACTTTAACGTATGGTAGTGAAAGTTGGGTGTGGCAGAAGAAGCACGAGAGTAGAATCAACGCAGTGGAAATGCGGTCGTTAAGGAGTATGTTAGGGCTGAATCTGAACGACAGGGTAAGAAATTGTGTAATAAGAGAAGAGTGTGGCTTACAATATGATGTTGTGACCAGGATTAAGAAAGGAGTGCTTCGGTGGTTTGGTCATGTGGAAAGAATGAATGAGGAAAGAGTGACAAAGAAAATTTATGGTGCAGAAGTGAATGGCAGAGTCGGGAACGGACGTCCTAGGCGAAAATTTATCGACCAAATTGGCGATTTATTGAAAACGGGCCAAATTAGGAGTACCCTTAACCGACGAACATGTATGCGTAGGTGTATGGATGTGAAGGAGGCAAGAGAGGTGTGTCAGGATCGCGCCAAATGGAAGTCTGTAGTCTCTGCCTACCCCTCTGGGTGACAGGCGTGAGTTTTTATGTATATGTATGTATGCCTCTTCTCCCAACAATAATTAATAAAGACAAAACTTTCTTATAGATATAATATATATTATGTACAAAATAAATAAGATGACTTAGGGCATCGAGTTATGGATGGTTCCGTTTTGGTAAATGTATATTGAGAGTTGATTTTGGGTCATAAGCATAAGCACTGTCCCATTTTTTATACCATTTCACCATCAGGAATAATACATTTATGCTATGAAAAAAAAATAACGTTTTCGTCACACAGACAATAGTAACGGACCACGTCTTAGATCCCTAAATCATCACTTGCAACACACACTGTTTGTATAATCTTGTTTTCAAGTTTTGAGGTATACTCCTCAAGTTTTTTTTTAATTGTATTGCATCCTCCAACTTGGGAGAAAGGTTAGCCTTTTATTGTTCTTAATTTCTTCGATAAGTGATCCTCAATATTTTTTATGAAAAGGCAGAACAATGTATCTCTAGCCAGCTAGTCATTTAATAAGAATTGAATCTACTGAAAAGGGTTATATGAAGTCAAAAATGCGGCTCATAATAACTGATTCGTTAAAAGTAATAAAATTTCTATTTTAACGTATACCCTGACTGCTTCGTGGTGCATTGGCTTAGCAATGAGTTGAACCGCTTAGTGCAGTGGGTTCGGATCCCGCACGAAACAAGTATTTGAATGGCCTATAAAAATTTGTTCCGGGTCTGGATGTTCGTCCATGTGAAATTTATGTATGCAAAATGCCCCAAGATACAGGAGAAAATCCTAGTGCGGATGTAATTTTTTAAAAGAATAAGAAAAGGACAACATTAGGTCATGATGAAAAAAAATTGCCAGTATTTTTATATTAAATATATACAAACAAGCAACATAATACTATTACACTTATCATGTATAATTTAACAAAACAATAGATGGTAGATGATTATCATGACGCTAAAAGTGACCCTCAAAAACCACTTAAGATAATAAATCACGGAAATCATTTGTGATAACAGCGATATAACAAGCATTTCGATTCGTATTTACTTAAACGTAAAGACACGTACAGATGTTATAATTTTGAAGATTTTTGTATGAAATGAAAGGAATTTATATTATCGATTTATCTATTGCCACTATTTAATTTATCAATTATTATCTGGTATGTTTATTTAATTATTGAAGAATTTAGTAAAGCTGATAGTTTAGCTCAGGTAAATGTCACGCCCTTAAGCTTATTCTTTGCTTTAAACCCCTTATTCTTTATGACCCTTATTCTGTGTCTTTAAAACGTAAATCATATCATCGAGTGTAAACTCTGTCGAGTTGCTAAGCAAGTATTTAATCCAACTGATGCTTGGATCTACAGAGATCTGACCTTACTTAATTTTTTTTTATAAAACCGAATTGAC